ACACAAATATGTATGTTAACACATTTAGGTGTCCACATACTGCGGGGTTTACCAAGAGTTGATCAGCTGGATCGTGAGCTATCAACGTGAAGTAAATCTGCTCGGTCAGGCCATGGCTAGTGTTAGTGAGCAAATTGAGCCAACCTTGGCCTTTTTGGGGTTTTTTTGTGTCCTATGTGTGAGATAACTAGCAAGAGCATGGCATTATGGGAAGGATAAGTCAAAACAAAAAAAGGAGTAAAGGCCAGCCATGTGACAGGCAGGGCAGGCATGAGGTGCGAAATAGATAGAGAAAGACAATAAGGCTGTCACAATGGGGTAGTCTCCAGATTATTTAGAACTATTTAGAATGAATACTGAATAATGAAAGTTTAAAAATACAGCAACAATTAAACAAACAATTTAAAAAATGGACTTCACTGAAAAATAACAAATCAGACCGAGCCTTTAAAAAAATCCATAATACTTTACTAGAAAAAGATGAACTAGGAAACTTTTAAAAAGATAAATAAAACACACTATGCGTTCAAAAACCATATACAAATGAATGTGTCCACTAAGCTTTGTTTCGTACTGTAACAGAAAGCAAGTGGAGAATTAAAAAAAAAGTAATACCACCATACAAACTGCCAAATAGTGATAACTGCCTAATAAAACTTCCAATTCATTAAGAAAGTAATTTATTTTAGATTATTTATTTATTTGAGTGATTAGGTCTAATAAACTAATTGTGACAGCCCCAAAAGACAGAGGTGTAAAGAGAGAGAGAGAGAGAGAGAGAGACAGAAAGAGACATTACCCCTCTCCTCCTCCACCTCCTCCACTGTGTGCAGGCCAGAGAGAGAGAGAGATACAGAGAGCGAGAGACACACATCCATAGAAAGGACACACACAAACACAGACACAGAGGAAAAGAAGACACAGAAAGACTGAGACAGGGAAAGAATGGACTTTTTTGGAGGAGGAGGATACAAACATCATCACAGGACAGAGAGAGAATTCACAAAAGACTGATGGCGTAGTCCCTATGTCGTCTTATATGTGGACACCTAATCTAGTGCAAACACATCAACGGATACCACACAGAGAAGAGCACAGAAACACATACCCCCCACAAGAAGAGATTAAAACATACAGATACAGCAGAGACAAGGGAACCATGACCGCATTCACTGCCAGGGGGCGCCACCGACACCCCAGAGCGGCTGTTTTTTTTTTTAGCATGAACAGAGACAGAGAGAAAGAGGGGTGGAGAAGGAGAAGAGGAATGGAGGGACTGTTCTTTGAGCATAATCAGGCAAGACACACTGAAACAAACCCATTCAAGCGTAAAGTAGCAAGGGTAAAGGAAAAAGGCTGCTAAGGGAATAACTAGCTGGGGTGTAACAATACAGCGTATTGTGCTGTAATGCTTGATTCAAAACAAGCAGGGCATCGAACAATCCTTTCAAATAAAGTATCTAAGGTCTATTAATATAAGAGCTTATAGATAGCGCATTACCTCGTGACTAGTACGTTATCCTATGGCCAGCATATTTGTGTTTTAGAAGACCACAATGGCATGATGACTTATCTGCACAGACAGCACGCTTTGTGCGCTGGGTAAATTAGAAGGAAACTGATGAAAATTCTTTGTCCATGTTTACTGTTATATCATAAAGCACAGATTACAAAGAACATTTCCCTGTTCTCAAGTAATAAACTGAGAATGCAATCAATATATTAACATAAGACACATTTTAGGCATTCCTTATTTTTGCTGGATCTATAAACGCACTAAATTGTAAAATCGTAAAATATTGAATTGAATTATATATTTTGTGTATTGTTACACCCCTAAGGGTCACTAGAAGGGAGAAGGGGTCACTCTAAGAAAGTAGGGGTCACTGTAAGGAAGTACAGGTCATTCTATGGAAGTAGAACACTCCAAGGAGGGGGGAGGGGTCATTCTACGTGAGCAGGGGACACTCCAAGGAGGCAGGGGTCACTCCAAAGGAGTCCAGTTCTGGTTCTTGAAGGCTTTATTCCAGCACACTTTGGTGATTTTCCTGTTCAAACATACCAACTAAACCTACTAACAGCTGTGATGGACTAAGGCTCTCCAGGACCAAAACTAGACAGCTCTTCTCTAGGAAGAGCATGCAGAGCTTGACTTACAGTTGAGTAATTAAATCATCTGCGATTTGTGAACCCTATCAAGGAGCCATGTGCTGAGTTCTGCACTCAAAGCTTTGATAGATGTTCATTATGCAGTTATTATTCCTCAACGATCATTCTATAGTTTATACACATATGTGCCAAGTGTATGTATTCACCGTGGGCACCTTTCACAGTCCTTGGAGCTTCATTTAAGACATTTAACCAAATTTATTTACTATAAAAGCGCTGCATTCAATTCTCACAGACTGGAAAAGATGCACATTTGCACATACACAGGCCTGTACATATATATTATTTTCTTCATCCCTGTCTCGCATTCAAGATTAATCTGACATGCTCAGCTTTCCTACATGAAGGCCAACCACATGCTGATCACCAAGCCTGGGCTTCATAACGGCCTAGACATGCATTTCAGACTCTGATTTTAGTTCTCTCTTTCTTTCTCCTTCTCTCATGCTCACAACCCAACATTCTATACTTTTGCCCACTATCGTTTCTCTACCTCAGAGGTCAGAGGTCAGCCCTGGGCTGCTCAGTAAGTGCCTTGTGGATGTAAAAATCTTACTAGACACCCAGACACTTTTTTTGTTGATAAACACATTAATACAGAAAGAGACCATTTTACTAAGAAAATGCTACACTCGCCAGCCTAACGAAATCTACCATAAAGCAATGCCAGAGAAATCTTTATTAATCAGTGTGAAAATATACTACGATGTATGAGACAAATGCATCTGCCATCTAAGTGAATTTGTTTGAATATCAGATGAATTTTTTAATACTGTATATAACATAATGTTGTATCCACCACTATGAAATGAACGGATCCACAAAGACAGCTTAAAATGTAAATTATGCAACTTCATCGGTATAAATTATCAAAACAGCTAATACATTCCTGTGTCTTTTATCTTTTTTCAGACAGATGATTCAGATTTCACTGACATTGCTGCACATTAGCTCCATTACTATAGCCAGTCTGCTTACTGACATTACGTTTGGTCAGGCTTCTTGACTGGCTCATTGTGTAAAGCTAGGCTAAGGCTAATTCAAGTTTCATCTCGATTGCAGCGCTCTATAATTGCTTTACTTTAAACAACATTAACATTAGCCTATGCTATGTAGTGTCACTTATCTTGCAAACTAACATTACCGCCACTAACATTACCAATGCTGACAAGTTATTAATCTATGCAGACCTTATACAACAATAACTCAGCACGGTGTCTGGTAAGTGAAGAAAATCTAGCCACCAGTTATAGATATTTACATTTTGCTGGTGGTCGGTTTTAATTAGCCACTCTGATGCTAACCAAGCTAAACTCTAAAGATGCTCATAAACTTGGGGTGGGCAATATGACATAATGCTATTGTTATCCTAAAAATCTACATCACAATATTTTGTCAGCACTTAGACACTGACCACCCGCACATTGCAGGTCAAAGACAGCGTAATTATTTCTGTTTAACTGGATTTAGTGTGATACATAAAATAAACAGCAACTGGACTCACAGTAATGTGGCACTACTGGTGCAAGTGGTCAACTGCATTTTATCAAACCTCAGAAAAACAAAATACTGTGTTATGTATCTTGTATTTTGAAATGTCTTCAAGTGTCGTGATATTATATATCTTGCCATATTGCCCACCCTATTTCAAAGGTGGTCCTACCTTTCTTTCTCATTGCAACATTTGGCCAGATGGCATGACGCTGAATCCTGTAGCTGGCCAACTGCCTCTCCTTACCTTTTACTACCTCCTCCACTTCTCCCTCTCTGGGTCCATCTTTTCTTTTCTCTACCTGGCACGATTCCTCTGTTGGGGTTTTCAGTTGAGCAGAGGACGCAGAGGCCTGCGCGCTAAAGGGTTAAAGGTGCCTGTGGTCACCACCCCCACGGAAGTGAGGGCAAGGGGATATGGGCAGGGATTTTGGTAGGCTCAGAAGTTTCATGAGCAAAGAGAAGGGGAAGGGGAGCAAAATACGCCAAACACACAGAGTGAACGACAGTCAACTACCAGCCAAAAGATTGGAAGGAACAACGTAAAAGTTGATATAAAAACTTTTTTTTCAAAAGATCACAGACAATAAAAGGTTTATTAACCTAGAACAGACAGGTTTGTTCCTAAATATGTGTAATTACAGTGAGTGCAATAAGTCATTATTAATGGATTTAGCTCCTGCTGATTCTCCAGCAGAGATTTAGCGAAGCTCTACTCAGATCCACCTGATTCCCCCATTAAAATGCTCCTGAAGGCTAAAGAAATTTTGTGCTGTTATACTTTGGATGTAAGTCTAACTGCACCACTTTGATTTTTTTTTAGTATGTCATGCTCATGAACTTATTTACAATCAATTAAAATTTTAGTCCTATGAAACCAAAAGACTAAATTTAATATAATAAATTAAGTGATAAATTTACTTTTAAGTCATTTGATGGAATTTTCATTGGTTTGACTGGTTTCATTGAATAAATGAAAAACTGATTCAGATTTGTGCTGGCTGATATGGATGTTAATGGGTTAAACTAGATTTCAATGTTGTCTGGCCTTTGCAAAGTGACTTATTTTAAAAATATTTTTGAAACTTCACTTCTAGCTTCCATACTTTTGGGCAAACAGAAAAGGACAAAATAGAGAAAATGAAAGTATTGATTATATAGTGATTATGAGTAAGATAGAGGGACAGAAAGTCGCTCGAGGGTGCCGGGGGCTGTGCTGGCTGCATTGTGTCGTTTGGCCTGTAGGGGAGACAGGGGAGGGCAGCAGGCAGGTGGAGTAGAAAAAGACTGAGGGTTTCAGCAGGACAGTGGGGATGGGGGGGGTCCTGGGGGACACTTACGTGAAGGCGAAGGCCACCAAGGCACCACTAACCACAATAAAGTCCAGAATATTCCACAAGTCACGGAAATAGGAGCCCTGATGAAGCACCAAACCCAGATCCACCATCTAAGAGAGAGACAGTGAGACAGAGAGAGACAGAGAGAGAATAAAGAGAAACATGTTCGCTGTAAGAGACCAAAGGTCTGAAATTCTGAAACAAAAGTTCACAAGCCTTTTCACTGTCAAAAACTGTGGCAAAAGAGCTTTTCTTTCCAGTCCTTGGGGAGGCTCATGCTCTGAATTTGCATAGTTGGCTCCTGGAGGCTTCCCCAGCAAACGAAATGACTTTTATTGACAATCTTTTATTGACAATTTTAATCCCTTTTTTTTATAGAAAAGGTGGGGCCCACCCCAACAAACTTGGCTCCCAGATTTTAGGTCACAGGATATTTTACTCTTCAAATGATTACCTGATTCCAGATCTGATTTCTCTAATATTCCTGCAATTACTGTTTACCGCCCTAGAATTAACAAGAAGGAAGCCTAGAATTAACAAGAAGGGTAATTTTAACTATCTGATCACTCCAAGTCGTCCCCCCCTGCCGCCCTTGCAAAGTAATGTTACTACAAAGGCTCTCTTAAATACCAGGACACTCTGTAGCAAAACTGCATTTGTTAATGCTCTTCTCAGTGATAAGTGACCATGATTTGGATGTTTTTAACTGAGACATGGTTAAGCTCTACTCATACAGCAACCCTAACTGAATTAACAGTACAGCTTTTTATACTCTGCATGCTAAGGAAAAAAGGGGACAGACTACCTACATTTGTGTCAGACAGATTTACCTACAAAAATATTAATTTTGGTAAGTTCACCTCATTTGAATATTTAGCAGCTCTATTAAGTGCCAAGCCCCCAGTTTTAACTGTGGTAGAACACCAAAACTTGTGTAGTCTTTTCTTCTCGATTTTTCTCTTTCTTTACACATCATGAGACATGACAGGATTCTTTCAACTGGTGATTTGAATTGTCATGTTGATCCTTCTACCAACTTCAAAGCCAGTGATTTTATGCAACTTTAAATTTCTTTTGATTTTACTCAGCATGTGACTGAACCAACTCATAAGCAAGGTCATACTATTCACTTGCTATTTTCTTGCAGCTTAAGCATTCATTTACATGACATTTTAGATGAACCTGCATCAGGTCATTACTGTTTATTTTTTTAACAAAGCTGTAGCACCAAAGACACGTAAAATGGTACAGAAATGCTGCTTTAAAGAATCAATGTTAGCTGATTTCATGAAAACGTTTAAGGGAATGCAGTCCAGCAGTGTGCTTTTGACAGTACCTGACCAAGTTGTGTTTTTCAACATTAGGATAACTGAGGCTCTAGAAGTGGTTGCATCATCTCAAACCAAAATGAAAACACAAACTGAAGTCATACCCTAAAGAATAAGCAGTTATGATCTATCAAATTTGACTCCTGAAGAAAAGAACGAATTTGGGGAAAAAACACTGAAAAATTCTACAGATCTGTATAATAAGGCAGAAGCAGCAGTACTTCTAAATCCCTCAACAGACCCACAACAGACAGACTTTTAAATCCCTCACTAATACTAGACAAGTTATCTTCAACCAAAATTGAGGAATTTGCATGGTTTTTAAAAATAAGATAATTAATATTAAATCTAGTATTTAATTCACCAGAACACAATGATTTTAGTCAAACGAATGAAGTCGAGCTTCTCAGTTAATGCCCATTACATGCACCTTGGAATGAGATCCAATCTTCTTCTATAAATAGGTTTATGATTCCCTTTGCAGCACTGTTTTATATGTTGTAAACAGATCCCTAGAACCAGGGTGCTTTCCAGATTCACTTAAAACAGCTAGTGTAAGACCAGTTTTCAAGAAACACAACTTGGGCTCATGAGTCATCGTAAGTAACTACAGACCTATTTTCAATCTGCTCTTTCTGGACAAAATCATAGAGAAAGTGGTGAGGAATCAGCTAAATGTTTTCCTCTTACGCAATAAAATATTTGAGAAATTTCAGTCAGTGTTTAGGTCAGGTCACAGTACAGAAACAGTCTTGGTAAAAGTCGTTTATGACCTTAGTCAGATCACTGGCGAGAATAAAATATCCCTGCCCTGCTGGACCTCACTGCTGCATTCAATTCTGTTGATCACCGTATATTGTTAGATAGACTTGAAAATTGGACTGGACTTTCTGGAAATGTACTTAAATGATTTTACACATATTTGACTGATAGACAGTACTTTGTTACACTTGGTAAACTTGTAACAGGAAAGCATGGCATTCATCATGGTATACCACAGGGGTCTATCCTTGGGCCACAATTATTTATTTATTTTTTTTCTTATACGTGTTACCACTTGGTCATATCATCAATATACATGGAGCCAACTTCAGCAGCTATGCTGATGATACACACCTTTACATCTCTGTTCACCTGAAGGAATAAGTGCTGTTGATCAGCTAGTTCATTGTTTGTCAAACTGACTTAAATAAACAACTATCTTTTTCTTTTGAAAAAGATAAACTGGAACAGTTTTAAAAATGCATTTAAATGGTTAAGTCTACTCAAGCTCTGTTTCTTACTGAAAGAGAGACCAGTAGTAGGTTACACAGCTCACTCTACATCTCCAAACACACAAAGAGAGACAGCAGAATATGACTGTGAAATACCCCTGCCTGTTCACATCCATTTGTATGAAAAAAAAACAAAAAACAAATATTGAATACATATTATATTAGGGAAGCATCAATTTCATTTTTTTGAGACAGAGTACGAGTACATATTGTTTAGTACTCGCCAACACCGAGTCTGTTACCATAATAAGTAACCTACTTAGAATTAAACAGTTGTTAGTGTACATGAGTGCACTCCACCTTAAAAATTAAATCACTAAATCTAGCTGATATTAAATGAAATGCATTAGCTAGCTATGCTACCTTGGATCCAGTAGCATTGCAGTGGAGCCATTTTATGTGCACATGACAAAGTCAGAGGAGTGGGCTTGGTCAGAAAAGTGCTTCTGTACAGTTGTAAGTAAAGTATGATTCATTGTTTTGGTCCTCATCTGTCTCTTTCAACAACAGTCTCTGAACAGTGACCGGCATCTGAGGTGCTCACTTGTGGAGTTTGTCTCAGAGTCTTTTGTTTGGCTGTCGGATTGTCACAAAGTTACAACTATCTCACTAGATGTGCACACCCTCACTCACTACGTTTGTTCATTAGCGCAGCAGTGGACACTTGGCTTAGGTCACACAGTATCAGCTGGTATTGGAATGTTGGTACTGCTGAATTTTACAAGTACGTGAGCATGATATCGGGCCGATACTCAATGCCAGTATCCGTATCGATGCATCCCTATATTACATATGTATGTAGAGTATATTTATAGTTAACATAATACATAAGCACAATATACCCCGATCTCAGAGGTGCACAGATTTTTAACAGTCATGAATTCCAGATGCAGGCTGCAGCCACAAAAGCAAGCAAAGGCCTTTACCTTTATAAGCATCTCAAAGGTGAACACACCCGTGAAGACATAGTCGAAGTAACGCAGGACCTGCATACAAAAAGGAGAAGGAGGAAAAAGAGAAGAATCAGAAAGAGTGCACAGATGGGTGTATGGATATATCTGTAACTATAAACATATTTTCGGGTTTTGCATGATTTTCATTCTCAAGTCAAGATTTGTGTTAAAAATTCAGATTCTACAGAGCTCTAATTATATACTACACAGATTTCTACCTTATATTTAAAAACAAAACACTGCAAAGTAGCACGTGCTTGTGCTAAGTACTGATCTTATAAAACTGCAAACAATATAGATATAAGATGTCTACTTTTGATCACTGACAGTGGTTTCCATGAAAGATGTAAAATGAGAGAGGCTTGGAAAAGAGCGAGGGGCATATTAGAGATACATTTATTTTTGTGTTTCCACATGCATAGATTTTTTCAATACTGTACTGACATCGTTACACACTTAAAATATAGACAGACAGAAAGTTAGGGCGGGTCAAAGAAAGTGACTGAGTATATGAAGGTTTTACAGCAAGTTTGGCTTACATTATTTCGGGGGGAGTCGGGCCAGACAGGGTCTTCAGCAGCCAGAGCAATGCTGCTCATAGCAATGACCAGCAAAATACACATCTCGAAGTACCGCAGAGTTACAACATAATGACACAACCGCCGAAACCTACAACGCAAACATAAAACACAAATAATTGCCAACAAGTGTCAGCTCCTTAAAATGCAAGGGTTTAGACCCACACTTAGTTTGGAAGCTGTGAACTCACGGGTTGGTTGTGGACAGAATGAACATGGAGCTATAAGGAGGCATGGGTTTAGGCCCTCCATCATCTTTATCATCATCATCATCATCGTCGCATTTGGTATCTTCCTTCTTCGGCAGTGGTTCTGTGTTGGCATTCTTATTGACTGTGGGACGGAGTTCAGCACAAGGAAAAAGCTGAGGCAGACATTTTCACACATCAAAGGACATCAGAACAATTGTTTAACACAGACTCCACATTTTTCTCTCAAAGGCCCTTCATATGAACTACACTGACGCAGCAATACTGCCCTTTTGAAAGAACATCAGTTCAGTCTTCAGTTCTGGAGACATTAAAAAGTATTAGGCACCCCCTGTCCAAAAAACCAAATATAGCCACATACCAAAAGTTTGGAAACACTGCTTCTAATAACATAAAACCAATTTTACTGTAAAAACATATATAACACAGTTATGATACTAGTAGTCAAATAATTCAAATTACTCATAGGGAGCTTTAAAAAGCTTAGATTTTAGGAAGCCATGAGAAATGTTAAGTGTCCAGAATGACGAAACGAACTGTAGAGTGCCACATATCATTGAGCATTAAGTTAGAATAAAATTAATCACCAGAATGCCTCATACCAAAAATGGTGATGAAATTTTGAGGTAGATAACTTTACAAGAGATGGAAATAGATCATTACAGTGTATTAATTATTTAAACGTAAATTTGAAATATTAAATAAAGCATCCAAAATACCTTTGTGTGGCTAGTTTATAACAGGTGAATGTAGCCTGGGTAAGTCATTATTGCATAAAAGAACAAGAAGTAGGAACTAAAAGAAATTAAACATTTTTGAACAGGTGTTTATATTTCTGATGCTCATTAATCCCTCTCTCCCCTCCATATCTCACCCTGCAGGATGGCATTGGTGGACGGAAATATGGGCGGCATGTCTATGGCCGTGTAGTCAAGCTTGGTGTCCGGGTTAGCGAGATTAGCAAGGTTAGCTATGTTAGCGAGGTTAGCTGTGTTGGAGGTGGGGTTGGTAAGGATGAGGCTGCTCTCTGTGCCCAGGTGGGTGCCGTGGGTGCTGTTGGTCAGGCTCAACAGGCTGCTGTGGGGCGTGGAGTGTTTGCGGGTGGCTAAGGGCACCAGGGGCTGAGTGGCTAGCTTGTTATTCATGACGTTGTCCAGATCCTCGCTGTACTGGCTATCCTGCCTGGACAGAGTTTTCTGAATGGGTCGAGTGGTAGATAAAGTGGGGCCACTGCTGTGACCATCCCTGAAGAGCATGAAAGAGAGAAAGAGAACAAGAGTGAGAGGCAGTGTAAGTAACAGAACAGCAACACTTTATTTGTATTTTCCACTAAACATTCTTTGCAAATATTCACCTTTGTAAACACTCGTATTTTGACATCTAAATATCCATTAAATTCACCTTGATTTCTCCTCCAAAACTCTCTAAATCTTCACTCTAATTCTAACAATTACTCTAATCCAATTCTTAAATTAAGTTTAACCAAATCTTTATCTTAACCCCCAAAACCTAAAAGGGGGCAGGGCTTGACTGGTCAAGTGTGCCCGGCTATCGGCCAATTGGTGTAAATCTTGCACTTTTAAAGGTTAAGTTGCCAAAAGAATTCTTTGCTTTATCCGATAGAACACAGATCAGGTGTTCTTAAACTTTGTGATCCTAGGACCAGCAGAAAATTATTACTATACAGTTGCCTTAGCGGACTATCAAATTAAAGTGGGATCAAATCCTTATCCGATAGCATTTGCACAGATAAATGCAAAAAAGAGTGCACAAAAGAGTAGCGTTCTCCCAAACTCACTTTCGGGTCCGATGCCGAACCCTCTCTCCTTGCTCTCCTTTCTCCCTTTTCTCTCTGTCGCCATGGCGATGGCGCCTTTGCCTGCGCTCCACTCCATCTTCATGCTCACACTCTGTCCCTCCCTCCGTCCTGCGGCGTGAGCGTCCACTCTGTCCGCTCTGCCCCGCCCGTCTCCGGTGGGGCTCTCTCACACCGCCCTCGGGCCCCTCACCACCCCCTTGGGGTGGTGTCTGTGAGCTGCTATGGTTGCCGCCATCTCTGCGGCTCCGGTTCGACTCAGTGGATTCTCCTCTCTCTAGTGGCCGTCCAGGGCCACTGGGGTGGAAAGCTGGTGGTTTGTGCAGAGGCTCCTGACCACTCCGCTGGGCCTCGCCTGGCCGCATTTTGTTGGTGTTGTTGTTGCGGTTCTCCTGTGGGTCCACCACCAGCGGCCGGTCCAAATGAGTCTTCATGTCCGGGCGGATGTGGCGAGAATAGGACACCTGAGGGAACAGACAAGGGTTGGAGAGACGAACCTACACCCACCATAATTTATGCTAGCTTGATTACAAAAAAACAAATGTTTGTGCGCATTAATGTATATGCACAGCAGCCACAACTGATGCACATAAAACTAAAAGAATAACATGCTTGTGCTCCAAAGTCTTCCATTATATCTTAATAAAGATAACAACTTGTTAAACAACAGATGCAGGACCAATATTGAAATTTGTGGGTGTAACTGAAGTGCTATCCATGAAAACTACCACAAAATACATGCTTGAATAACTTGAAATTAGGCCTGTACAATATGAATAAACAAATGGAAATGATCTATAAAGTTTATTATTTCGATGATGATGTGACGTGTCAATAATTTTGCCATGCCAATCTAACTAAATTTTGAAATGATTTAGAACTATTCAGTTCTAGACACTGTAAAATTGAAAAAGCTGTGGGTTCTAATTATGTTGCCTGCACACATCTACAGCTTGAAAGAGTGCACTCTTCTAATAATCGGTACTATTAGTTCCAACTTTTCCAGACTTTTATCATAGCCCTCAATGGAAACTCATAATGCAATGATGATGAAAACATTATTCATCATGCAAGCCTATTCGGGATAACAAGCACACTCTGATCACAAACATGGTTACACTTGTCTTTTAAATGCGTATATAGGTAACATCCAGATACAGATGTGTTTTAAAGCCAACTGTAAAAAGGGTCTCTTTCTTCCTCCAGCTCTCTTCCTGCTTACCTTCCAGCGGTCCTCTGGGTCCAGCTCATTGTAGAGTGCCTCCCTGCTGGTCATTAGGGTTTGTCTCCGCAGCTCACTGGTGCGCTGCTCCCACACCGACTTAGAACCCTTATGGTTCTTCTGGTTCTTCTGTTGCTCCTTACTACAAGGAGATTGGAGGGAAAGGGAGAGAGAAAAAGAGAGAGATAGGGAGAACGGGATAGAGTGACATCAGCATTCTGAAGGTGTGACAGATATGAACAGAGGAATGTAGAAGGGTTTCCGCCATCGAGCCTCTATTCTACTCACAGCTACTGCAGCTATTCACACAATGACACTGATAGGGCGCTGGATCGGGAAAAAATCATCCACAGAGAAAGAGAAAGAGATAGAGAGAGAAAGTGAGGGAGAGTGAGAGTGTAAGAGAAACAGAAATGATGATAACTACGGAGTCAATAGAGAGAGAGAAAGAATGAAGGTGAGAGAGAAAGAGAGAGAACAAACTTCAGAGTCTACAGAATACAGGCCCACCTCTTTGGGCGTGGAGTGAGTAAAAAGAAAACAAGAGAGAAAAAACAGGACTGGATGATTGATGAAAAGAGAGCCAGTAGAGACAGAGTGAAAAAGAGAAAGAGAGGAGAAGGATGAGGAACAGGAGAGAGAGGAGGATGAAGTGGAAGACCATCCCATCCTTCAGGCAGACTGAGACAGCATAAGTGGAAAGTCTAGCAGGGAGGAGCGTATTTACACACCAACCAAAAGTGCTGAGGCTGGGACCAGACAGGAGGGGAACAAGGGAAAGAGAGCGGAAGAAAAAGAATAAAAAGAGAAGAAGTGCATAAATACCAGTCCAGAAACGGTTCAGAAGTGTTGAGATGCTCAGAGTGAACGGTTACGCTGAGGAGGGAAACAGCACGTCAGAGATACGCAACAGCAGAGTCTCTAACACACACGCTCACATACATCCTAAAGCTGCGCTTTAAATCATATGTTTATCGTTATCGCGATCACGATAGGAGTTTTTTACGACAAACCTATTGGCTGCAATGACAGAACAGATTGAATTACCTCACACAAGCAGCCCCAGAGCAATGTAATTAGATTGGCGGGAAAGTAGCATCAGGAACAGCAAGAGCTTGAACTGTGCCCTTAGAGATGAGCCATATGACGATATCATATTTTGTTACTGTGATAAATTTTGTTACAGTGACAAACAATACGCTATTCTGAGCATATTGTGAGTGCTTAAAGACAACTGCACATTTCATTACACAGACAGCATCATTAGTCCTGTTTAACTGGATTAAGTGCAGTACAGTATGTGAAATGCTGAATACAGTTCACTGTGTTCACAGTTCTTGATGGCTGTTTTTAAATGTGACACTACTAGTAAATTGTGACTGTGTGTCATAAATAATGTGATATGTACTGTGTATCAGGAAAATGTCATGTAACATTGTGGTATGATATTTTTTAGAATATTGCCCAACTTCTGCATGCCCTCCTGCATGGAGAGCACCTAACTTAACCATTTAGCTAAATGACCAATTACTAAGCACATCCTACTATGCACATTGTGTGTTAAATGTGTGAAGCTGTAATGGCTACTACCAGGAAATATATATTTATTTGACAATAATGCTGTTTTTTTAGCCTGTGCTCAAAAATGTGCTTGCAGTTCTGATGTACATAGCTATTAGTATTTCATTTGTTTTCTTTTGAACAATCCATCCTGAATGGTGCTTTTATATATATATATATATATATATACATATATATGTATATTTTTTTTTTTAGATTTCTGTTTATTCAGCAAAAAAACTCTTTACTTGTGGTACATCTAGTCAGCGTCACATTATTGTAATCAAGATTTATCACTTCTCATATCTTCATAATGATATTGTCATCATGCACCTCTAACATACTCTGTCACAAACACACACACACACACACACACACACACACACACACAATAAACAAAGCACAGACATACAGGGCCAGTTTCCCAGACCCATTCACTCTATTCCTAAACTAAAAAGAATTTCCAATGGAGATTCACCTGTGGCTCTGCAATTTAGTTCAAGATTAAACTTAGTTCATATCTGTGAAACCAGCCCACAGACACAAACACTGGCAGGCGCACACAAAGGTAAACACAAGCTACAGTTCTGCACAAGCCTGAACCCAACCTATACCCACAGCTTTGAGACCTGACCCAACCAGGCCCTACTGGTGCTGCTTGATTTGAAATCTGAAACCGAATCCTCTGGCTCTGCTGCGACTGTGTTGCTGAAGAGACATCGCGCTAGTCCTCCTGCTATCACAGCTGAAAGTATTATTGCAAGCTCTGCACTGTACAAGACCAGTCCATCTCAGCTCACCCTAAAACACTCAAAAAGTTATTCTTCACATTCCTCTGTTTGCAGGGGACAGGAACTTCAGAGTTGCAGTAGTTGCAACATTGCTAGCTCGTAGTAAAGGTATGGTAAACACAGAACTGCCGGCCATAAATAACAACTTTGGAAACATCCTCAAGCTCTTTCGTAACGCCATTATTCTGACTTAGAGCTGCACATTTTTTGCTCAGTGTGCGCCTTCTCTTTCACCATTCTGGCTTACAACGACTACAAAATATCACTGAGCTGGGAGATTTTTTGAACAGTCATTCTCAATTGTTATCGAATTAGCTACTTTTTTTTCCCAGCAACCATCCACAACTGCCTAAAGCCAGCTCCATGAGAATCAATGCCTTTAACAACAGCGGCCTACAAATATCACAGAAAACACGAAATATTTAAGGCTACTATTTATAGCAACAATTTAAACGTGGTTTTAAATCTTTTTTGTTTGTCTTTATATATAAGGATGTACAAAGGTATTTTGCACTTGACCTTGCCCAAAAAATAAAAAAATAAAATCAAGAAAATGTTCTTTTCAAAGCATGAAGAAATTCTTCTCAAATGTAATTGAGCAACAAAAACAGTTGACCAAAGTGCTGTTCACAAAAAAATATTTGAAATCTCAAGTAACCATAAACAAAATAACCTAATACACGGACTAGCTGATAAAGAATAACAGAATAAAATGTCTAGCCTTTCTTGCTTCTCAATGTAATATGTTGTAATGTGATTTGTAATCGTGCAAGTTGTGATGAGTATATTTCATTATATTGTCTTTAATTTAAGCCAACCTTTGTGTGTTATAAAATATTTGCTTAATATCTTGATATTTTGAGATCATAACATTTTTGACTACATCCTTATAACATGACAAACCGTAACACCAATAGCCCAAACCCCAGGCCCGTCAGGCCTGTCAGACTCGAGTTGGGCAGTAGACCTCTAAAATGCGCAACACATATGCATATAAACACACATATGCATATAAACACACATATGCATATAAACACACATGCACTCTCTCTCGCACACACACTTCTCTGTCTTTTACCAAATCAGAACGTAAACTTGGAACAATTGCAAAAGTGACTGCTTCACAACAGCTCAAGAGCTGAAAATATTGAAACATGCTGTTCTTCCACACACATTCAAAGCCTGCTAACTATGCAGTCTCCACTGCAAAAGAGACCACACACACACACTCCTTTATTTCTCCTACTATGATGTCATTGGGCTTCATACTAAATACTACTGGACTAAAAGTGGATTACTTCATAAAATTAATAAAACGATTCCTTCACTCCTTCAATGTTAAATTCTTTTAAATTAAGGTACCTATTCTTTGTACATAAAGGACAATTCCTTCAGTAAATTAGACAGCATGTGGAGTTCCTAGAGCGTTCCCTTGAGGGAGAACAGGAAGCATTTGCCCTTTCGCTCAGAAGAAGAATCAAAGGAAGTCTAGTTCTTACAGAAGGTGGGCAAATGTCAAAGATCAAAGATCGCTGCTGTGTAACAGAGGAAGGAAGAGGGAGGGAGAGAGGGAGGAAGAAAAAAAAAGAAAGAGTGTGGGAGAGAGAAAGAAAGACAGAGATACTCACGCTGCAATGGAGAGATTGGCTGCAGACAGTGGACTCACTTCAGCCACCTCTTTAGCCTTCTGAAGAGCAATTTTCTGATTGGCTGCCTCTTCTTCCTCCTGCTCATCCTACATGCAGGAAAGAAACTCAGGTATTAAAGGAAATTCAGAGGAAAAAAGGTCTAATCTGTCTTATTAGGCCTACCATGATGGTCCTAACTTTGTAAAGTGCTTGTTACAAAAGCTCCACATTTGCCACAAGCCAAAGGGGCAAAACCATTTCTTCTAGGTTACTAAGGTTAACATTAGGGTTAAGTTTATGGGTTAGGCTTCATACTTAATACACATAGGTACATTTATAGTACTGTGCAAAAGTCTTAGCAGCCAAGACAAATTTTAAATTTATTTATCTAGGCAGAAAGTATTGCTACCAAAAAGCAGCACATAATATTAACATAAATGTGTAAAAAATGCATTAATATGTTAGTTAGAAGAACACAGGTTTATTTCCACTGTTTCAGCCATTTCCTGGATTTATTACATTCCATCAGAAGTACACCTAATTTAAAGCAATGAAAGACTGGATAGACGAAATTGCTTAGGTACTGGATGGTAATTCTAAATACTAGACCTTCTTTAGGAGAGCTGTGGAAATGATTATGCTAACTCTCTCCATCTTCTGTGTGTGTGTGTGTGTGTGTGTGTGTGTGCTTATTTACAGTACCTTGGTCAGCTCCTGTGCATTGGCCAGATTGTCCACAGCGATGGCCAAGAATACATTCAGCAAAGTGTCTGAACACATAGAGTTATGGTAAAAAACTCAGAGACTCTGACTTGTTAATATGCGTTAATATAGTTGTCTGTGTGCATGGCATGTACTCTACTGCTGGAATCACTAAGTGCGCTCACATGCACTTAATAATCCGATAACTGAAGAAAATCGGATTTTGTCAGTAATCCAAAAAATGTGTTAACATGTACTTGAGTAATCAAATAATGGGTAAACTCCTGGTCTACAAGAGTCAGGCAGTAATCAGATTTCTGCATGCAACCGGCAAATAAACTCAAAGAAGAGTGTGACGTAAACATGATGTAAAACCCAAAACTTTATGCTGCACCACTTCACCTAAAATATGAACATACATCAACTGGAAGATGAAGAATATTTAAATCCTTCATTTCATCGAGCATGTATTCTGTTACAGCTTCGCTCCAAAAGTGTTTTGCTTCCATCTCGTGGCAATGCCACATGCTTATTTCCGGTACCGCAGTCTGTTTTCGCACATGCACAGACTGAGAAAACCAAAATAAATACAAGTAAGAGAATATATGCACTAAGAAACCTGATTACTGAGCTAAAATCCAGCTCTCTTTATCGGATTTCTTCACTGGATTTCTAGATCGTACTCCGATCTAAGAAATCAGAGTATGCTGTTTACGTGACCATTTGGATAATCAGACAACACCAATTTAATTTTAGATAAGTATATAATATATACTCAGTATGTAGTATGCCAGTCCTGTGCAATTTAATAGCTTTCAAATAATTAGTAGAAAGTTAAGAAAGTAAATAAAAATAGAAATAGAAATCTTAGATGAATCCACAGTGATGAAACAGCTTTTGGTGACTCAAAAATACTGTAAAGAGATAATTACAGTATAGAATTTAAAGTATAACTCAAAATCCTTAAATTGTAAAATTCATTTAAAGTTTCAATATTTCAAACATCTAAAAAAGCAACAAATTTTGTATTCTCAACAAGCACCCTTGACACTCTTTTTATTTTTCTTTTCTACACAATTTAAGACCACAAGATGCACATTTAAGCTGTGAACATTCCATTAATGGACCCATACAAATGTTCCAAAAACGAGTTAGAAGAAAAACTAATTAAAATACATTACAATGTGCTTGTCCAAGTTTATTCCTAATCCTATACAATTAATGTTTTGTAGCTTTTCTGTAAAGCCTACAGGATGCATTTCCTGGTATGCTTATGTGTGTTCATGTGAATTTGGATACAGTTGCCGAACAGAGTGAGAACGATGAAGAAAATGGAGAAGACCATGCCCGTGTTGACTCCTCCCTGAGACTCAATCCCATCATACATCACCATGTTCCAGTCTTCCCCAGTCAGGATCTGAGGAAAAGAAGTAATTTTCAACATTTTATCCATATCTTAAGATGCTTTTGGGAAACCAGCCCAGCCCTGTCAGAACCAACTACTGTATAATATCGTCATTTTACATATATATCATTATATAATATGATCTTTACTTGCCTGAAACACTGTCATTATTGCTGCAGGAAAGGTATCGAAGTTTGTTGGAGGTGTGCCACTTTCAAAATTAAACCTAGAAAAAAGAGGATTTTTAAAAAATGTTTCCATATAACTATAAAAACTGTTCATTTCAAGAGCTTAACCAAATTCACATTATCAAATAAATTAATGTCAGGGTACTGAACCTTAACAGGCTCTTCAAAATTAACGTGTTTTCATGGAAGAGTGAGATACTACATTGCAAACCGAAATGCACATTATGACTGCACTGCTTATCAAAAGTTTGAGGACACTATTCTGAGACAACATTATCACACATTTGTGCCAGTATCAGTAACAATGCTACCTTGGGAATAAAGCCAAAAGACAGCCATTTTATTCCCTTTGTTGTGATTTTAGCAGTCATCAGCACTCAAACCCTTTAGGTGTTTAAAGCACCTCTGGGCCAAACAAGCTTTAATATGTGCTTTAAACAATAGTTTGGAAAAAAAAACTGTCAATTTTTTATTTAGGCAAAACTTGCTCTTCAGGCCAAGAAAAACACTTTGATGCACATGAAGCTGAGTGTTAAAGATAAATATACTCGAAAGATTAGCACAGAGCTGCTATACGCTGACGACAGATATTTTTTCTTACTTAATTGAAAACTGTAAATTAAACACTTAAAAAATTTCAGAAGATGGCAAAGTGTTTCTCAGACTTGACAGGCAGTGTGACTGAATTATACATACATACATCATGTGTGACTGAATTAAGTTCAATAAAAAAATTACTTGGTGAAAAAAATAAAAAAAACTGTGAGGAAAAGTGCACGTTTTAGTAGTGAACGATGAGATTATAAAGCTGTGCTACTGACTGTCCTCCGAAAAGCTGCATGCCAAGAAGGGCAAAGACCACGATGAAGAGGAAGAGCAGGAAAAGCAAGCTGATGATGGACTTCATTGAGTTCAGCAGAGACACCACCAGGTTTCTTAGAGAAGCCCAGTACCTGAGGGAGGGGGAGAGAGAGACCGAATATTAGTGAAGTCATTGTTACATAAAGAAGAAATGTTCAGCGTTAGGGGAGACTAATTTCTCCCTTATCCAGAACGCACCCGATCAGGTAAGACACGTTTGGTGTCTGATGCTTTGCTTCTCCTTTGCTTTGTACTGGAGCTACAAGGCTAAAGTAGCTAACAAGTAAACAAAGCCTCTGTAAAACAAATTAGCATCATGCACACTGCATGCCTAAAAATGCTGAGTCATTAAGAAGCCTAAAATAGACTTGCTTGATACTGAATTATATGCTGTTATCTAAGGCTGCACAATTCCTTATTAAATGGGAATCATGATTTTTTTTTTTTTTACGCAGAATTGAGATCATAAAACTCTATTCTGATTCTTCAACGAATTCTTAAATAGCAACACTTGCAACAGGTGTAACAGCAGCTCAGAGCTCAACATAAACAGCTATTACAGCTTTGTTTGTGAGACACTTCATGCATCCCTAATACAGTCTGCATAATTGACATTCAGTAAAGAATCAAAATATAAAAATGGACGAAAGTATAGACAAACTCAGGCTTCTTGATGGCTGCTGCTACTGTTCTAGCTATGCACTTTTGTGCATGTAGTGTCAAACAGTGTCAGGAAAAAACAAGAAAAGCAAGTTTATTTGAGATTACTAGCGAATCCAACAAAGTCTGAGGCAAGTGTGTGATAATGAAGGCATGCAGTTAGCACCCTGCTAATTAGTATTAGCATTATATTCGCTCCCTTTATTTGTTAGCTACGTTAGTGTCATTGCTCCTGTGCTAAACTAAAGAAGCAAACTTCAGACACCGAACGTTGCAGAGTTGGAAAACTGTATTCTTTTAATTTACGCTGAGATGGACAGAGGGGTGTACGAAATGGACAAATGTGGGGACAGGAAAGACCGAGAGACGAACACAAGACGCAATAGACTCACTTGGTCACTTTGAAGATCCTCAATAACCTGAGAGCTCGCAACACACTGATCCCAAACGAGGTCCCAGGCTGGATCATAGCCCAGAGCACCTCGAAAATGCTGCCACATATGACCTGCCACACACACGCACACACACACACAGGGACACACACACGGAACACACACATTTAAAGCTTCATCAATAACGGCAAGCAACAAGAACAAAGGGCATGAACGTCGTAAAACACTGACAACGAGCGTGGGCTGAGTTTTCACAGGCTCCTGCCTGATCGCACATAGATACCAGAAAATCTTGGGTAAAGCAAAAGTAACTGTAACTACATTTTATTGTGTTGGGTTAGACGTATGTTACACATTTATTAACAGAATTCAGCAGCTGCCTAATGGCTACTGTACTGTTAAGTTTCGAATCAACCAGTTTTATGTTCGAGGAAATGTGCTGAAATTACTGTGTGTGGTAAAGTGTAGATGAAGATAGGGCTGAAAAATGCTGAAGTATTCCTCTGCGTAATACATGCTGAAAAGGGTCCTTGCTTTTCACTTGTGGTCACTTTGTACAAGGAAAGCTCTTGCTGGACGACAGAGAGGAGAACTGGGGACTTACGATGCAGTCGAAGCAGTTGAAAGAGGAGTGAAAGTAAGGCCTGGTCCCCAGTCCATATATCTTAACGCACATCTCAGACATGAAGATACCCAAAAAGATAAACTCTGCGAAGTCTGAAACAGAGAGAGAAGGAAGAGATAAGAGTGAGACAGAGAGTAAAGAATGGGAAAGAGGGGAAGGCTGTCATTGATTAAGCCCTTGAGCTTGCAGTTATCACCAGTGATAACTGAAGCATGCTTATATGCATTACTTCTCACTCGTAGTTCACTGAAATAAGCAGAGGAATTGTGTGGAAAGTGCAGATTTTATCCACATTTGATCCACATTTTGATCCACAAGTGCGTTTGTAAGTAGAAGAAGAGATATTTTATTATGATTTGAATTTGATGGAAAGTTAGTATTTTATGTCCTTTTTTGCAGAATGACAAACGTCCTTTACATTCTGTCATTTTCTGACATCAAAACAAACAGAAAAAATAAAGAAATACTCACTAACAAAGCCAAAATACAATAAATAAATCATTTAAATATTTATTTTTAAAAAATCATAGGAGTGTCTGCTAAACATGCACGTTACTATCTTTATGACAATGTAAAATTAATCAGTAGGGACAGACACTACCTATTGCCCTGTGCCCCAAGCCACAACTTTTTCACATTTGGGCCACTAAACGTACAGAGCCTTGTACTCATCTTGAATAGTTTTTTGCAATCTTATTCCATTTTAACAAACCTGTTTTGTTGTAAATTAATTGCATCTAATCAGATTTTGAATTCTGTAACTGTAACTGCAGTAGTTCCCCCCAGCTAAGCTAAGCTGCCTGGCATCACAGATGCTCTTCCGCTGGCTGCAGTTTGCCATTTTCACTCTGTCAAAAAAGTTCTTAAATAAAATAAGGTATTGACTAAGCTGGAATCAGGGCAAAAGGCTATCACTACAACAGCTGAATAGTACCTAATAGCAACCTAGATCAGATAAAATCTGGGTGGACCAGGTGGGAAGGGGGGAAATGTAAAGTTTTTAATGAATATTTTCTTTCTTTTTCAAAGCGGAACACCTGCTATAGCACTATGTAACTTTGGGGAAGCGGCCAAAAAACCTCTTGCAAGAGCTGCGTAACGCTTTATGGCACCCTGTCACACACCAACAGCTATGGTTCTTTAGCTAGTTATAGGATGAAGCCAGCTCGGTACTCCCAACATGGACATCAAGCCAGAGGCTGCAAAGAGAGCGAAGACGTTCTCGGAGGAAGCGAGGAAGAGAAAAAGACAGAGACTAGATGAGAGTAAATCTCTACTAGTTTCTGGTCGTTGGCAAGAGCTAAAAGAGTCTCACAGCTAACAGGAAAACAACAAAAAGTTTGGTCAGTCTTTATTCCGTCTCGCTGGCAGAATCCAACTCCCCTTGGCGTGTACGCATGTCACGCAAGCATATGCACACTAAAGATTACACTTGCGATTTCGATTATTTACACATAGAAACAACCGGATACGTGAGTGTAATCTGTAGCATCCATATGCCTGCGAGACACGCCTGCACTCAAAGGGGAGTTGGATTCTGTATTCTTCAGCTTGTCAACAAATGTACGTGTACAGCTGTTCATGACAGGGGCTCAAAGTGTTATTTGTACAACAGTGGTGTAAAACTGAAATACACTCTGTAACTGTAGGGGTAGCCCAAGAGTCAAAAAAAAATACCAGTTCTCACATAATGCTGCTTTAATTGTACATAAAATGTATTTATGATAAACATGTTTCTATTTTTGTGGCTACAGATTCATAATTTTGGCCACTGGGTTCAACTGTTTTCATTAATATTTGGTTACTGGTTTCGGGCACAGCAAGATGCTAACTACCAGTAGTTGTCATTGGCCAGAAATTCCATATCAGTGCAATCCTTAGTGTTCATTCAGAAAATGAAGGATGGAGAGGGACGAATGGAGTAGAAAGCTGAAGGCACTCACAGAGAAAGTCCGAGAGTAGTTCTGGCTGGTCGTAATGAACCACCGCTACACACAGAGTGTTCAGGCCCACCAGACAGAGCACCGTCCAGTAGAAAGCCTGGGTCTTCACGATGTGGCGAATAAAGAATCGCAGTCGACGCTCCTTCTTATGGAACGACGAGCCCTCCAGCTTAGAACTCTTCAAACTGGCCCGCGCAAATGGAGAACCTGAAAGACAGAAACAAGTAAGAAACAGACAGAGAGACAAACGAGGGAGAGAGAGACGGAGAGAGAATCTTCAGTGCAAAGCTAAAAAAGTGAACTCTGGATGCCAAACATGACTTACTGTCTACACTTGAAATTCATGTCAATTTTAGGGAGGGTCTTACCCAGTGTGAGGTCTCCATCCCCCTCCTCTGGATTCAGCAGGTCGTTTTTGCTTTTCTTGATGGTGGGCCTTCTCCTTGATCCTGTACAGCACACACAGAAGCATTACACTTGATGGCCTAATACCAGTACACTTACACAAAAGGCATTTTTGAACTGCACAACTACCAGAGCCTTTTGCACCAGAAAACTATTGTGACTCATCAGGAAATCTCAGAGTGTATCATAATTCAAATTGATCTATTCACTTTGTTGCAATTTAAAATTATTTCTAACAATACAATGAACATACAAATGTGACTGAAGTTTTTGTTTTGTCTTTTACATTGTAAAGTGGTCTGAGAATTTTATTGTGATCGAATAGTGGGTGAATACTGAATATTATTATTATTATTATTATTATATTATTATTAGAGTATTATTAGACTCGACTACTGAAGTGTTAAAAAATCAGGAATCCGTTATGAAAAAATCAGCCATGAACTGTCAGTTGTATGATGATAATGTACATTTTAAATTCCTCTACTGCTTTCTCTTAGAATATGAAACAACATCTAATTCATGCACACATTAATATGCATTTTTACTCCAAATATATATTTACGACCTTGTAAGCATGGTAGCCACAGAACAGAAGATAAAATATCACTTCATCAGCAAAGGCAACATGATAGAGACATTTCTCTGCTTTCATATGTAGGAAAGAAACAGGGAGAAGGAGGGATGTGGGGAGGCTTCCGGACAAAAATACCGTCAAAGGGCATCCGGTCATCAGCATCATTATCCTCATCGGCCAGGATCACTTCTTCTGAACAGAAACAAAGGAAAAAATTAGATACTGACATTTTGGACAGTTTACCTGAAAACACGACAGTCTGACTTGCAGATATCTGAGGTAACACTGCATGGCACTGGCATCTTTTATACTGTGATAAATAACATATGTATTAATGTGTTATGCGTGCAAAAAATGCATATCGTCAATAGAATAATAAAATCTCTGAAACTGTAACTTGAGGTTTTGAAATGATGTTGACAATATTAATGTGTAATGTGCATTAAATGCATACCTGCTTTGCAGATCCACTCCAGATATCCATTCAGCTCCCTCTCAATCTGCTGCTGCCGCCTCAGCTTCAGAAACTCTCTCCTGTTTTCCACACGCTCCCTCTCTTTGGCAAACTCCCTGTGTCACACACACATTTACGGCATTTAACGTAAATAGCGTATACGTACACATACACAATTACTAACAGGCCGGAAAATGACAAGTGTGAATATTAAAGTTCCCCTATGCTCCCATTTTCTTGCATTTTAAATGTTTCCCTGTTGTACACTAATGACATTTGTGTGGGGGTTTATGCAAGAGCCATGATTGATTTTTTTCATTCCCTCTTTGTTTCTCCTAAAATTAAACAGATTGTTCTTGTTACTTTCCATTTAGATGGACTGACTGGCTGTCCTGCTAGCTTAGTTTTTCCATATATGGACCATTAGGACTGGGAAGTGAAAGACACATTTTGACATTTTAACAATGTTTACATATTCCATCAAATTCACTTATTAAAAAAAATCAAGAAAAAAATCTGTCATGGTCCTTGTTTTGCAGGTAACTCTGCAAAACTCTTTTTTCCATGGAAAAAAGAGTAATGTTGCCCTCAGACTTCACAACAGTTCATGGTCTTACCCTGACAGCACACCCAGCACCAGGTTAAGCATGAAGAATGATCCGATGATGATGAGGGGGATGAAGTACATCCAGTTCCATGCACTGCCTGAGGCATCGTTACTCTAGAACAACACACAAAGGTCACAGAGGTCAGCGCCAACCTTCTACCATTCAGCCTGTTGGCTTTTGCACTGCACAAAAACCCTTACACTGACAAAACATACTGTACCGTGTTGGTATATTCATAACAGGGCTAGGCAATATGACAATGTTTATTACTATTGTGAGAAATTATGCTTTTCTGAGCATGTCATGGATATTGTCAGTACTTAAAAACACTTCGTAACTACAGTTGACTACAAAGAGAGCATAATTAGTGGCGTTTAACTGTATTCAGTGCAGCACAGTTATTTAATTATATTCATAGTTTAAAATATGATTTTTAAATGTGGTTGTACTTCATCATTTCCAACTTCATCAAATGTCAGAGAAAAATGCATATCATGCCATTTCGTATATCGTGAAAACATTTTTTTGGGATTTTTCCTAATTTAGACATATCCAATTCCACCCACTAGTTAGGACTCCACCAATCACACAATATCACCAGCACTAGGAGGGAAAAAACTACCATAAGCTTCCTCCGAGACCTGTGAAGTGCCACCGCATCTTTTCGAACTGGCACTAACGCAACATCATTGGACAGCTGAACGCAGAGGAGAGCGCCAACCGCCAGTTTTGTTATGTCAGCTAACAGATGCCTGCACTGGCTAGCATTGCGCTGAGCGATGGGGGGAGACAGGGGGCCATCCTACCCACCCAGAGAGAGAGATGTCAATTGTGCTCTCTTGGACTCTCGGCCACGGACGGCTGTATCATCACCAGGGATCAAACATGCAATCTCCTGACGATAGGGCCAACGCTTTGACGGTTGCATATACATAAAGCCATCTGCTGTACTGCTGCTACCCGCTGATGCACTGCAATGCAAACGGTCGGCCATCTTGTGTGGCAAAGCTCCACAAGCCACCCTCTGGGTGGAGAGGTGGCCTCAACTAAAAATAAATAAATAAACAAATAAAATTGTGGAGAGAAAACTGGAGCTGCTAGAACAGAGCCATAGGTTCAGACTCAGGAAACTGCTTTAACCCTCAGAAGTGGCTGTTATTGTCAGAGATAGCAAAATCATGTTATTTTAATATTTATCTATGAGTATTTACTAATCAAATTATAAAATCCGGTTTATTTTGCTGCTGTGACCATACAACAGAAGTTGTCCAACACGTCTGCTGGTTGTTGCACTAGGTTACCTTTGCTACTCCATTAAAATTGTGGTACATCCGGTCTGGCATCTTCAGGTTACCATCGTAATGTAAAAACTGCATTAGTGTTAAAGATTACAGAGTCTGGGAAGTGCAGAGAAGTATATTCTTACTTAGCAAGAGGCAACATAACATTTCCCGATAAAAAAAAGACACTTTATTTTCCTTTCAGAACTGGCTGAAGAGATAGGAGAGAGATCATTTGTTGTTTCTATTTTGAGTCTTAGCATTTTTTGGATGCTCTGTCCACCCCCAGGTCCATCCAAAACCATCTCTCTTTTCCAATTCTGCAACTCCTGTTCTCTTTTCCTGCTTACTCCCTCTCTCACCTTCTGTCTCTATTCCCTTCTCTCTCTCTCTCTCTCTCTGACTCACTCACTCTCTCTCTCTTTCTCTGCATGTCTGAGAGCTCTTGTATGTACTGCAGCTTTTGCAGCTTTTTGGCCATTAAATTTTCATCGCTTTCTTCCTCAGCAGCTGTAAGAATCACTCCGGTTGAACAGGGCCTGATAAATATAGAGCCCGGTCCATGGGGCCTGACGGAGATGGAGAGAGGAGAAGAGCGAGCGAGATGGGGAGGAGGGGGGTAACAAGACAAGCGAAAGAGGAGGATTAAGAGCAAGAAGAAGAAAGCAAGAGGAAGAGACATGACAATGTATAAAGCCCAAGGATTGGCTAAAAACAGAGAGAAACCGTACGCTTCTGCTTTAATAATGTGATTTCTCAATGCTGTCACATTTACTCTGTAATGTACAGAACAAGATCTGGCAAAGCTAAAAAGTCATAGATTTGTATTGTAACAAACAACCATTTTGGTCAAGCAAACACATGAATATAAATATACTTCACACTTTGGTGACCTTTTATTGCAATTTTGATAAAACAAATCAATAATATGCATTTCTACAGCAATGTGAACTGGGTTGTGAATGTGTGCCCACTAGTGCTGCATGAAACTGACATTAAATGCAATGTTCGATAAAGCTGTCGGATATCACAATAAATTATTATGAAAACAGTGTGCCTCTAACTGGATGTGAAGCACGTACAGACCTTTTTTTCAGACAAGTAAACGGAAATCTAACTACACTCTCCTGAAGCAAACAGCAAAATTAAAAATTATAAAAGCACCATTAACTACTGTGCAAATTAAAAAGTAAAAAGAAATGAACTATTAACAGCTACTTACATCAGAAATGTAAGCAGATTTTGTACAGTCTACTACAGTTTTTGGCTATGCAACATACATTGGTCCATTGATGTTAGACTTCTAAATCAGAGCAAAAGAGCCAAACAGAGCAAATTTATCTACAGTAGCTATCATAATCTCTGTTAGCCAGTTTTTTTTAACTGTAAAAAAAAACACTGCATGACTGGCCAAGAAAAATCACATCACTTACACAATGTAAGTGTTTTGCACTTTTTTACACTAACACTGACGTATCACAGGTTTTTTACTCATTTATCCAGCAAAATGAACTGTACTAGTTAGCCAGGTAGATTATTTGTTAACTTTAGTTTTAATTTCTCATTGTTGCAATGTTGAGTCTTTTCTGTGCCTTCAGTAATCCATGCTCTATATTTTAATGATAATTTGTAGCAAATTCATCAGACTTTTATAGCTGACTGCTAACTACTCTGACAGCAGATTTGCAGTGTAAAGCGCAACCATTCACAGACGGCAGGTAGGAAAACCTTTCTCTGGTGAGTGCATTATTGATGATGGCTGACTGTCTCACTTTCCATAACTGGGGTGGCCAGAAGGTTGGTCATGCTTTACGCTAGGATGGCCCTGACCACCCTTGGTCACCCCTTGGCTGAGTCAAAAGGAGCTCTACCGTTTAGTTTTTTTTTTTCCAGAAAGAAGATACCATAGCTCACCCTCTTGTTTTCTATTGGCTCAAGCTTCAGAGGTTCACCTAGATGAACCTGGCATGGAATTAACCACTAACATAAGTGTCGTTTTCACATTCCTGGATTAATGAGTGAGCTAGCAAAAACAAATTCAAACAGCCTAGCCTCAAGTATTCACAATGTATCACAAAGTGCAGCCCATCAATATTTACTCCCACCTTTAAAATGCATCTTCAAAACAGGTGTTTTTTTTTTTTTAGAATTTGCCGCATTTACAGATGCTCTTATCAAGAAAGACTTACAATTTTATCATGTTACAGAAGAAGGAGAATGTTGTTTAGTTTTGCCCAAAGCTTGCTCTTATTAGCACAGCATGGTTTCCCAAACGAGGAATCAAACTCCATATTGCCAGGTAGGTGATGATTTAGGCATGCAGTTAGCACAACGCTAACTAGTGGGTTAGTTAGCATTGTGTGGGTAATAAGCTTCCATTTTTAGATGGCTCTCGATGTACCCACTTCTTCCAAGATGCTTACTGGCAGCTTAGCCCCTAACCCTTACAATAAGGCTTGCACTTGTGTCACACTATGAATTGCATAGTGACACTTTCTTGAATGCAACCATGGGCAAAACTGTATCTGCGTAGCTCGAAGCACTTGTGTTCTTAAACTTCAAGCTTATTATTCAGTTATTCATCTTAAGACTTATTATTCAGTAACTATTACGAAACTATTGTGTACATTCTCTAGTTATTTAGCAAAGTATGCAAACACATTTGTCTGATCATTGTTCTCATTACTATTATTACTATTATTATCTTTTTTGTTCTTTTGTTGTAAAGCACACCTTCTTCATAAACTGCATTTTAATGTTCGAAAGGTGCTACATACAATATATTTTGCACTTTTTAGCACAATGAAGAAATGCAGTAAGTTAGCTGCAATGCGTTGGTGGCGCAGCAAGGAGTTCATGTGTTCCTATGCAGTGCTGCTGACATCACTGCCTACTTTCCTCCGCCAGAACCCCAGTGACCGCAGTGGTGGACACACCTGAGTGTGAAAGTGTGGGAGTTGAGTGGACAGGCTGGCCCTCAGCGATAAGAACCCACACCCCACCAGGCTGGTGCGCTCTCAATAGGCCAGCAGCCACAGATTTTGCTTACTGCGCACTCCCGGAGGCGCATGGAACACGGATTAAGACGGAAATTTGATGCTACATTCACCTACCTCGCCCATCACTTTCTTTGTGTTGATATTTACAACAGCACAGATATTTTGCATTATAGTGCTTTGGCTAAACTCACACAGGCAAAAGTTTAAAAAGTCCATGTCAGCACAGACAGAGAGATCTGAGCAGGTAAGGACTGCGGAAGAACTTTTCCTGCAAATACAAGTTCATCTTTTACTTAGAATACCTTCATCTATCATATGAGTCTTCCAATCACATCTCTCTCAGACTCCTGCCCTGATCTGTATTGTGAGCTTTATGATGGCAAACACTGCATGAACTTCTAACCTGTTTCTGAATGTTGTAATCCTGTCCTGCACTCAAACCAAATGTTTTATCCTGCAACTTTGAAATCAGTTGCATGCAATTTAGAAATAAAACTGGTGTTCTTCTGATTCAAACCAATCTGTGCAAACCAACCCTAAAACATTACACCCTTGCTATTTACTATGTTTTCTGATAGACCTTTAAAATTAGTCATTGGCTTATCTCTCCCAGAATAATTCCAGTGCCTCTGTTTAATCTTCCTTGTTAACTTTTCCTACTTCCGCCATAACTACAATATCTGGTGTGGCCCAAAGGAGGATAGATTCCCCTATTGAGTCATGGCACAACAAATTTTCAGAAGCGGCAAACACTGAGTTTCTCTCTTGCAGATGGAGGAGATACATCAAATGAGGTAGTAACAGTAGCTAGAGATGTCTGCTAAGCGTCAATGCAAATGAAAAAATGCAAAAAATAAGCCCTGTATGGACTGGATTAGTTTAGTGGTGGGATGTGTGTGAAAATATTTTTACATGCCTCCTCACTGATACAACACTCATATCCGGATGGTAATTACTATACCACATGTAAAGCGAGTTTCTAGTGGCTTCTGTTTTATCAGAATTTAACAGTACATGTTCTAAACCGTGATATAACTAGTCATTATTTCTAGAGAACTTCCTAAAAGAAACCTTCTAAATAAGCTGATAATACTGTACTAATGTGAATATAAAGTAATGCTAAGCCCCAGGATCTTGCTTCTCCTGATAATACTCTCCCAAGTGGTCGAAGTAAATGGTTGCCTGACCCATCAAAAAGCAACCATATTTCATTTCACAATTCAGGAAGTGTTTAATATCTGGAAGAGTTTCTGATATGCATGTTAGGAGACCAAATACTGTAAGTAGCTCTTTTTTCCAACGTGAGGTGACACCTGCCAGGAAAAGCAAGGAGTTTGTATTGTACTTGGACGGAACTAAAATGACCAGTGCTTTGCTGAGAAAAAGTAGGTAAATCTGCCTGTAATTTTCTTAGGAGAGGAGAGAGAAAAATACAGACATGGCCGATCTGGTCCAATGTGGTTAATTTATTAATAATATTATAATATTGAAAATATTTTAGGTGGGCCAGTGACAAAAGTGGGTGGTCCTGAAGGAAAGTGAAGGAGACCGCAAGTGTGACCTGCTTGTATAGAGTTAGCTGACAGAGGAATATCTTGAAACATTGTAAGAAGAGAATGCAAGACTCACTGTACACAAATTTACAGTCTTAGCATAGCCCTTCATTTTTGTGTGCTTTGCAGTCTTTGAGATAGGTTAAATCTTACATCAGTAAGAAACAGCTAGATATCAGAAAAGTGCATTTTGATAATTTCAGCAGAAGTTATCCGAGTAAAAGATGCTTAGTGAGTTAGCTTGTGTCTCTCAACGTGTGTTTAATAGGCTTTGCCAGTGATTATGGATCTGTGCACTGTTTTAGTTGCAGACAAATTATATAGTTGCAGAACCAAATGGATGAAGTTTATACTGTTCTCTGGCTACACCTCAGTACACAGAGACCGTGCTGGACCCTGGACACATCACTTAATCGTAAAAACAGTCCTTAGCCTGTCAAATGCTGATAAGGTTGAGGTTGTACCAATTGGAAATATACAAAGCAGACAACCATGCTATATAAACAAAGAATTTCATTTAACTGAATAGCAGAGTGGTGTACACTGAAACAAAAACACGCTTTGAACTTACATGATTCAAATGTGTCAGTCATGAGACATGAGAATGAGAATGTTTTGCATCAACATAAAAAAGAAATAAACTGCAATATGTATTATTCATTTGTTCCACCACATTTGAAGCACGTAATACATACATCATCTAAACCGCTTATCCTTCTGGGTCGCGGTGGGGTGCTGGAGCCTATCCCAGCTGTCATTGGGCGGAAGGCTGAAGCACGAAATTAAAAAGCAAAATTTTTCAGTGTAGTTAGGCCACGCATTACGTCATTTTAACTCACATAGTAGAGCAGGTCAGTCCAGCCCTCCATGGTGATGCACTGGAAGACAGTGAGAACGGCAAACAGAATGTTGTCGAACTGGGTGATGCCATAGTTGGGTCCCAGCCAGTACAACTTACAGGTGGTCCCGTTTGGACAGAGGCGGGACGGCGGCTCTGTTCCACAAGGAAAATCCTCACGAATTTCATCTGTCACAGACAAAAATCACACACTGAATGAAATCACACACATACACTGCCTGTCATATATTTGGGAAATCACTTTTCCAAAAAATGTTTGATTATTGTACTGTTACTTTTCAATACAGTAAAAACTGTTTTGTTAGCATAAAGCAGCTATGTGCTAATCCTGTGGGTATGTTTAGCCTATATAAGTCTGAAAGGAAGAGAAGCCTCAGACATGGTCCTTCTCCCAAACTTTTGTTATTTCATAACAATGTTTTGTCCAATAGGTATATTGGGGAAAACTTCTATCATGGCTCAGAAGGGTTCCATCAAGTTAACCTCATATCAAAAAACCTGACGCCCAATGAAGAAATCATCCTTAGCTGGGCTAAAACCAGAGAGGAACCTACTAGTGATGTCGTCGAAGCAGGTGGTGTGGAATTTGCCTATGTAAAACTCCAGACCAATGATGGCGAACATGAGGATAGCAAAGAAGAGCAACAGGCCAATTTGCAGCAGTGGGATCATAGCCTTCATGATGGATTTCAGCACCACCTGCAGGCCTGGAGGAGAGACAGCAGGTTCAGGGACAGCAGCGGCATTGAATTCACTTTCATTTTCTGTCTATTAATTTACTGTCTTACTTATTTAAACTTATTTAAATTTAGAAGAACTAACTCTTAGATAGTTTTTTTTGTATTTTTATGTACAAGAGGAGACCTCTTATTATAATTTCAGTTTGATGAAAAGTTATTGTTTTGTCTACAGTTTTGCAACTGTAAACATAGTAAAAAAAAACATACTAATAACTCTCACAGTCTGTTTTAAGATTGAAGGATCACAAATAATTGTATCAAGAATGCAATCACCAATATAGATTTGGCTCTGATGAGCTAAAACTTCTTATTTTACTTTTACTTGGATATTTTATTGTACATCACAAGCTGAACATCACTGTTTTTAAAGCCGTCAGCATTCTAAAGCTTTAACATCTTTTGTGTTTTATTTATTATCTTAATATAATTAACTTACTCTTATTATTCTCTCCCATTCATCCCATATCCCTTCTTCCCACCCTCTCTGCATCTGTCCCTCTGTGATACTTACTGGGAATTCCTGAGACCAGCTTAAGCGGCCTCAGCACTCTCACGGCCCGCAGCGTTCTCAGGTCAAAGTCTGAGCCCACCGTGGAGAGAATTCTGAGAAAGAAAAAGAAACTCAGCATTAATGCCATAAAGTAGCCAGCGATGCCTAATCAATCAATCACCTGTGAGGGCTGCAGTGCTCAACCCAAGAAAACTCACATTTAGCACAAAGTTAGGCATAGACCGGAGCTCAAAATGCACTTTTATTATTAATAAAATGGTAAATGATAACAATGCAATGCATTCAGTTCAGTATCTGGAAAACAATGAACAGATGAAATAGTGCATAACAATGTCAAATTGTATCACCGATACCTCTCACTCTCTTCCATATATTTCTTGTTTTCTTGAGAACCATTTTCAATGATCAAAACTAGTCATCTAAATGTAGACCAATGATGACAGCATTCAGTATAGTTAAAGCAGGGCTTCTGTTATGGACACATCCACACTCAAACGACTGGGCTTTTTTTCTGAAGAGCTTGTAAATTCTAGGGGTCATGATTTCTAGGGTTTATTTTGTTAGAAAGCAGCATGGCAAACCAGTCTGTGCAGTATAGTGTCACTGAACAAAGCCTTATGCTTCTTTTTGCTGTTTACACTGCGTCAAAATTTCATGATGAATAGACCAGTAGAAATGATCCAATATGACTTGTTATATTACACTGCATTTTCTTGCATTAAATGCTGACATTTTTTTTCTTCTCCTGTAAAGTTTTTTTGGAGATGCAAGGTTTTGTTCCAACTGTGACTTTATTTTTATTTTAACACATAAAAATTAACATCAAATTTAATCTTGATCTAACTGTATCTCAGAATCACATCTGAAAACAAATGTATTGTTACATGTTTAGTAAACAAAAATGCCAAGGTCTGTAACTTTTAGCCTTATGCAGTCCAACTAGACCAGTACAGATCAGAAATATTATAGTTTTTAAATTTTCATTAGTTTTCATTTTTATTTAGTTTTTCCTTTAAGTTTTTAATTTCGTTTTCAGTTTCACCGAGGCTTGAGGGTGCATTAACAGTTTTAGATTTGTTTTTTATTTTCTCAAAAGTAGTAGCTTTTGTTTTTTTTTATTATTTTATTATATATACATCATGATGAACGCTGTGTTTGGTAGGTATTTGATAAGAGTAGAATAAAATTAGCACAGAGTTATAAAGGTTTAAAGTTGTTGCAAGCTGAGTGTTAAAAATAACAGCCAGCAAAGTGGAATTGAGCATGTATATAATAATTGCTAACAATTTTGGACATCAAATAGTATGGGAAAAAAAATACTGAGGTAAGACTTCTGGCCATATCCCCTAGCAGTAGAGAGAACAGCCAGGCCGTGATGGCCCGGACAGTGAAGGTAGGTTTGGAAAGTTGGAATGACTTCTATGACAGAGAAATAGCAGAGCTTTTTTAAATACTCATGTGTTCAGAGTACAGATGTGTGCCCTGTTACTGTTATGTGTGATTAATCATTTGACCTTTAGTGCTGCTAAAACGTCACTGTAAATAGATCACCTAACCGAGTTGACTGGAAAAAGATGAGTGAAATGCATGCAAACGAATACGTAAAAGGCTGCTTAACTACACCATGCCTGTCTATCTGTTATGTACTGGGAGGACATCTTTGGAGACACCTTAGCTTTCTTTTGAAAATTTCTAAGTGAAGGTTGATCTTCACTGTTAATTTTTTTACAGCTTTCTATTTTATTCATTAACCATATCTTACCTAACATGTCGTTAGTGATACATTCATAGACTTTGGATTTGCTCCCATTAATTCCACAAACATCCAGGAGTAGTTACTAAATAATAAGCCTTAGGATATCAAAAGTCTGGGAATTTAAGGAATTAATGCTGCCCCCAGAGTAGCTGGTGTGCATGCATGTCCACATTAGCTATAGTAAAACGGATAAACATCTAGAACTGGAGCTTTCTGTGTGCTATCATCTTTTTTGTACCACTGTATAGAAGATGCCCCACGCTGCCTTTATTGTTGGATGCAATGCGATCAAGTGTGCATGCACATTTAGAACACAATTCATTTCGCTATGAAAATGCTTATTACTGATTTGTTTATTCAGAGTTAAAATAAAAGAACAGTGAAGTAAATATAGTTCTATTCACGTGTTTGGTTGTTTAAAAAGGTAGTTGGTGACACAAAAAAATAAAAATCTACAATTTTTTCAGCTTTGTTACATCATATTGTTTACATATCAAAATAGATGCAATAGCATTAAGAAATCACATTATTATATAAAGGAGAAGTGCAGACTGAAAGGCAGAGATAGACACTTTTGTGTTGGCTTTAAAAGGCTATTGCGAACAGACAAAGAAAACATCCTCATTTCTTAAAATCAATTTGGAAATCTAGGTGTCCCTAAACCCATAGAGCAACCTATAGCCTCTCCTGTTCAATAGTGTGCACTAACACACACACACACACACACACACACACACACACACACACAGAGTGTAAGGACAGCTCAAAGGAAGGAGGATCTATCAAGCTTATTGAAAGAGAATGAACCATTCAGAAAATGGAAGCGGACTAGAAAAGGGTCAGATGAATGAAGGGGAGAGAGAAGCTTGGCTAGAGATGTGGCTGGAAAAGGGTTGAAAGAGAAGGGGAGAGACATGAAAAAAGACAGAGGGGAGAGAAGGGTTATGTAATTTGTATACTTTTTGGGGGGTTTAGTGGAACTTAGCAAAGTTGCATTCAAAGAATTGATAGAGAAATATATTGTGAATACATGGTACATGAATCAATCTGATGTGTAAGTATATATTTCTGATATTTATGAATCTATTTAAACACAGGATGTATATGTTGCTTCAGCAATCAAACTTTTTATTTTCACACTGGGCTTATACATTAATATATAAATATGACTTTTGTTATAGCATATCTGTAAAATTACCTTTGTTTATCAGTAATGTAAGGAAGCCATGCCATGTGCAGCAAATGGAATGTTAAGGTAAAGTACTCTATTAAAAAACTGAAACTTACGACATCGAGGTATAATGCCAAATATTTACAAGCTAAGTCAACCAACAGTTATCTTGTTTACTAAAAAGTGTCATGTTGCAAAAACATTTTTGCTCACACAAAATCATGGAACCAATGGATTACTGAACTAAACATGCTGATTTGAAATATCTTAAAAGAGCTTATTTTATAAAGCAAAAGAGACAAAAGGAGAACACCAGCAAGAGAGAGAGAAAGAGAGCACAACAGAGTGAGAGAGAGACAACAGAGAAAGGGGGAAATGAGAGTGAGAGAGACAAGAGAGAGAGAGAAAGAGAGAGAGAAGAGAGGGAGGGGCGGAGTGAATGGAAAAGAGCAGAAGATGCTGACTGGTTGCTTTTATTCCCATCTTTCTCCTCTTCTATTTATAGAGCTCCGGTTCTAACACCACCGCCACCACTGTCAGCTCTACCTGACTCATTATATAACCCAGACTTTCACACACTCACTCTCTGTCTAACACACACACAAACACACACACACACATACACACACAAAAACAATCTTCTTAATGATGACAGTTGAGAACAGCATGAGTTGCAGTTTATTCCAGCAGGAATCAGTCCCTGATGTGCTGGCGGAGACAGACAGGAAGCGGAGTTATAAACAGTAGCGCTGTATCGATCAGCAGGAAACACAGGCTAAAGGAGGCTACACACACACACAACAAGGAATTAAAGGTGTAAAGGTACATAAATATTCAGGTTCAATACTGTGTTCTGTTCTGAAGGTCAAGATTCGATTTAATTTCCTTGTGTTAAAATGTTTTCATTCTACAGAGCTCTAACTATACACTGGCAGTCAAAAAGAACTGCTCACGTGCATGCATGTCGTACAGCGATGTTTAGTAACTGTTTCTGATGTGTTTATCCTTTCTGTTCACTTAAAGCTCATAACAGATATTCCACCAAGACAAAGTAAGATGCAGCAGAGCTCATTAAGGGAAATTCAGGCACCTTTTAGGTCTTGTCAAAAATGTGTAGAAAAGAAGGAAAGAGGAAAAAAAGACAGAACCTGGCCAAATGCATTGAAAGTTAATCACAGCACATAATATGTACATGCATATTGTGTGCCCACAACAGCAAGATTAACCTACTTAGATACTATTTAGGTTCCCTAGGGTTTGAAATCATTTTCAAAAACTTTAGGAAATTATCACAACGCAGTTTTAGGTTTTTCAAAAAAAATGCTACACTATCAAAAAGAACTGCTAACAGGTTGGCTTTTGTAATGGTTTTTGATACAACAAAAAATGAAGGCAAAATAGAGAAGGCATAGTAACAGTTTGTTGCTATATAGGGCCCTTTAATATGACAGCAAAGATGTAAGAGTGTGCAAAAGTGAAATTCTTGTTACGTTTATTTGCACCCATTTTAATAATACATCATGTTTTTACAAGCAAACTGAAACACTTATCTGGAAGATAAATGACTTTAAACAATGTGCTTACATGCCTAAACCTTTCCACAGTACTGTATACATAAATAAATACACCAAAATCATAGCAAACCAGTCCACCATCCACCAAAGCACATTACTCTCAGAAAATCCAACCAAAAAGTAGCGCAATTTGGCCGAAAGCCAGCCATTCTGGTGAGCCAGGCGCCGGGCCTAGATGGACCTTGCTGAGGCCCTTTGGGTTGGTGCTAAGAGATAGCGTGGTGGACTCTGGAGAATGCACTCCGGCACAGTGAGATTAGGGGGTAAAGACAGGGTTCTCACACACACACACTGGTGTTTACACTCCGTTCACAGGGAGCGCTCGGCTGGGAATCACCTGCCAATCCACCTCACACACACACGCCCAGACACACGCTGAGAGTGAGGACGGAGTGAGAGAAGAAGAGAGCGGTGCTGAATTAAACAAAGACAAGCACATCTTTAACAAAAAACACAAGGCCAAATACCAGAAATAAAAGACTGTTTAAATTTCTACATTTAAACAATATTTTACTATATAACATGTTTCTCTACTTCCACTAAAGCTGTTTGCTCCAGAATATTCTTTTGATGTTGCTCTTAACTCCAGTG